CTCCTCCTCCTCCCCCTCCTCCTCCAGTTCCTCCCCCTCATCCTTCTCGTCCGCTTCATCGTCATCCTCCTCCTCATCCTCATCGTTATCCTGCTTCTCATCCTCATCCTCCTCCTCCGCCTCCTCCTCCTCCTTACCCGCCTCCTCCCCCCATCCTCCTGCTCCTCCTCCTCATGTTTCTTCTCCTCCTCCTCCTCCGCAGATTCCTCCCCCATCGTCCTCCTCCTCCTCCTCCTCCTCCTTCTCATCATCATCATCCTCTTCCTCCGTCTCCTCATCATCCTCGTCATTCTCATCCTCATCCTCCCTCCTTCTCCTCCCCCCCCTCATCCACCCCCGAGCGACGATGAACGCCCGAATGACGACGAAGGACGGCGACGACGACGAACGCCCCGACAAGAGTATGCGGGCACAACAGTCACGCTGGCTCGCGGCGCTGAAGTCCCAGCAACGACTTCCCCGCACGAATCGGGCTTGTCTCGACGCAACAATCAGGTTGAGCCGTGGCGGTTGGATCCTGAGAAACATGCTCTGGCATGCGTCACGGTCTTCAAAAGGTTGTCCTCCAACGAGGCATGTCTTCCAGTGGGAATGAACCGTTGTAGGGGCCTACGAGGAGGGAGCTTGGAGGGACGGTGTATTCAAACATCGTTGAAGACTCTCGCGTGAACACTGGTCCTCCTCATCATCACCAGCATCATCAGCATCATCATCATACTCATCATCAGCATCAGCATCATCATCATCATCGTCATCATCATCAGCATCATCATCAACATCATCATCATCATCATCATCATCATCATCATCAACATCAACATCAACATCATCATATCATCAGCATCAGCAGCATCAGCATCATCATCAGCATCATCATCATCATCAGCCTCATCCTCCCCCTCCTCCTCCTCCTCCTCCTCCTCCTCCTCGTTCTCCTCATCTTCCTCATTATCTTCCTCATCCGCCACCTCCTCTTCGACCTCCTTCTCCGCCTTCCCGTCCTCCTCCTCCTGCTACTCCTCCTGTTCCTCCTCATTATCCTCCTGCTCCTCCTCCTCCTCCCCCTCCACCTGATCCTCCGCCTTCTCCTCCTTCTCCTCCAACTACTACTCCTCCTATTCCTCCTCCTCCTCCTCCGCCTGCTCCTCCTTCTCATTCCCCTCCTCGTCCTCCCCCTCCCCGTCCTCCTCCTCCTCCTCCTCCTCCCCCTCCTCCTCCTCCTCCTCCTCTTCCTCCTTCTCCTCTTCCTCCTGCTCCTCCTGCTCCTCCCCCTGCGCATCCCCGTCCCTCCTCCTGCTCCTCCCTTCTCCTCGTCCTCCTTCTCATCGTTCTCCCCCTCCTCCTCCTCCTTCTCCTTCCCCTCTTTGGTTCTCCTCCTCCTCCTCGTCCTCCTCCTCCTCCTCCTATTCCTCCTCCTCCTCCTCATATCCTCCTCCTCCTCCCTCCTCCTCCACCTCCTCCTCCTCCTGCTCGTCCTCCTCCTCCTCTCCTCCTCCTCCTCCTCCCCTCCTCCTCCTCCCCCTCCTCCTCCTCCTCCTCCTCCTCCTCTCCCCCTCCTCCTCCTCCTCCTCCTCTCCTCCTCCTCCTCCTCCTCCTCTCCTCCTCCTCCCCTTCCTCCTCCTCGTTCTCCTCGTCTCCTCCTCCTTCCCCTCCTCCTTCTCCTCGTTCTCCTTCTCCTCGTTCTCCTCTTCCTTCTCCTCCTCCTCCTCCTCCTCCTCCTCCTCCTCCTCCTCCTCCTCCTCCTCCTCCCCCTTCTCCTCGTCGTCCTCCTCTTCCTCATCCTCCTCCTCGTCATCATCATCATCCTCATCCTCATCCTGCTCTCCTCCTCCTCCTCCTCCTCCTCCTCCCTCTCCCTCCTCCCCCCCCTCCTCCTGCTCCTCCTTCTCACTCTCCTCCTCATCCTCCTCCTGGTCCACCTCCTTCTCCTCCTCCTCCTTCTCCTTCTCCTCCTCCCCCTCCCCTCCTCCTCCTCCTGCTCTCCCCGTCCTGCTCCTCGTCCTCCTCCTCCCTCTCCTCCTCCTCCTCCTTATCCTCCTCCCCCCTCCTCCTCCTCCTCCTCCTCCTCCTCCTCCTCTCCTCCTCCTCCTCCTCCTCCTCCTCCTCCCCCTCCTGCCCCTCCTCCTCCTATTCCTCCTCCTCCTCCTTATCCTCTCCTCCTCCTCCTCCTTCTCCGTAGCCATTTTTTCTCAAGCCAGTTTGGCTCAAGCTATTTTGGCTCAAGCCATTGGGCACAAGTCCCAGTGCCATGTCGTTCTGGATAGTCTCAAAAAGTCGCTATGTCCCTCGAAGCGTCGATCAAGAACTACGGCCTGACAAAACAATGGAGCGCCGCACTGCGGTTGCTCCGCAAAGGAATTCAATTGGGTGTGCAACTTTTTCCAAGCCACTACGTTGCGACTGTCAGCGCATGCAGAAAAGGCGGGCAATGGCAACACGCGTTGTCAGTTCTCAGTGAGATGTGGGAGGTGAAGCTGGGGCCCAACGTCATCTGTCCTATAACGCAGCGTTCACCGCTCGCCAAATGGTCGAGCAGTGGCAGCAGACTGGTCCCCTCCTGCGGCCACCTGCGCGGTCCTGGGGCCCCGGCGCGCTTCCAAGATGGCTTAAGAGCGCTCCGAGCCCCCCCCCAGAGGCCCCCAAGAGGGCCCGAAGACGGCCGCAGTCGGTCCAAGAGGGCCTCCGAGATGGGCCCCGAGCGCTCGAAGACGCCCAAGACAGCCGCCCGACGGCCCAAGAGGCCCCCAAAATTCTCCAAGTGGGCTCCAGAGCGAGCCCCAGGAGAGCCCAAACAAGGCAAAGTCGTCCCAATCCGCAGGGAAAACGTACATTTCGTTCGGGAGTTCCCGTGCTTTTCGTCTTCGAAGCGTCCAACACGGCCGCACAGGCCCTCAAGATCGTCCCAAGACGCCTCAGGAGGCTGCGAGGAGAGCCCCAAGACGATTCAAGACTGCGCCAGGACGGCTCCTCAGGCGCCCATGGCGGCCCCAAGAGGGGGCCAGGACAGGGTGGGAGCGTTCCCGAGGGGCCCCAAGAGGGGGCCAGGAGGGCCCCAGTATGGCCCCAAGAAGGCCCCATGACGCATGTACTTGGGCGCCCCTCTCGCAAGTCCAAGAAGCAAGTACATGTGGTTTGGGCCCTCTTGGGGCCCCTCGGGGGCGCCCTTGCTGCCCTCTTGAGGCCTTCGGACCCCTCCAAGACAGGGCTGGGTGCATTCTGCCGCAGAAAGGCATCTCGTGGCAGAATGGTGGGCCCACGCCCGGCAGCGTCCTGGGTGGGCCCCGGCGCGCTTCCCAGATGGCTTACGAGCGCTCCGAGCCGCCCCCAGAAGCCCCAAGAGAGCCCGAAGACGGTCCAAGAGGGCTTCCCGAGACGAGCTCCGAGCGCTCGAAGACGCCCAAGACAGCCGCCAGACGGCCCAAGAGGCCCCCAAGATTCTCCAGTTGGGCTCCAGAGAGAGAGCCCCAATTCAACCTCCACCTGGCATATGGCTGTCGCCTGCAGACCCACCCATGGTTCGGCAACCACCGCCGCCAACGGCAGCAAGCACGGGTACACACTGGTTCAGCTACAGCGCTGGGATCAGCGCGTGCGAGAAGGGCGGGCAGTGGCAGCGGGCTTTGGCGCTGCTGAGCGAAATGCGGGAGGCGAAGATGGAGCCCGACGTCAAATCTACTACCACTCAGGGCCCAGTGCGTGCGAGACAGGCCCACAGCGACTTGGCACACCAGCCTCCCCCCTACCGACCGCTCCCCCCACCCCCGCCAGCACTCCCACCCCGCCTCCCCCCGCCCTCAAACACGCCCCCACATCGCACGCACACACACACGCACCACACACACACACACACACACGCACACACACGCACACACGCACACACGCACACACGCACACACGCACGCACGCACGCACGCACGCGCACGCGCACGCGCACGCGCACACGCACACGCACACGCACACGCACACGCACACGCACACACACACACACACGCACACGCACACGCACACGCACACGCACACGCACACGCACACGCACACGCACACGCACACGCACACGCACACGCACACGCACACGCACACGCACACGCACACGCACACGCACACGCACACGCACACGCACACGCACACGCACACACACACACACACACACACGCACACGCACACGCACACGCACACGCACACACACACAGACACACACACACACACACACCACACACACACGCACACACTCACACACGCACCTCGCCACGTCGAGCTGATGTCGTGGACGGAGTCCACAGGTCTGCCCTACTACTACATTGCAGGGCCCAGTGCGTGCCAGAATGGCGCAGGCCCCAATGCACCAAAAACCGCCCCGGGCTGGCCCCGGGCCGCCCCGGGCCGCCCAGGCAGGCTCCAGGACATGTCGAGAGGGCCCCCAGAAGCCCCCAAGACGGCCCCGGAGAGCCCCGGCACGCATAAAGATGGGCCCAAGACGCCCGAGATTCGCCCCAGACGGCCCAAGAGGCGTCCAAGACGCCCGAAGAGGCCTCCCAAGAGGCCTCCCAAGAGGGCCCCGAGCGACAGAAATCGTCGATTTCTATTGTGTTTTTCGATGTTTTCGGCCTCCTCGCCTCTTCGGCTTCCCGACGCTCCAAGACGGCCCAAGAAGTCCCCCCGACCGCTCCAAGACGGCCGAAGAGGACCCCAAGAGAGCCCCAAGACGGGCCAGGAGGGCCCCAAGACGGTCCCAAGACGCCCCAGGACGGCCCCAGGACGGCCCAGGAGGCGCCCAAGACGGCCCAAGAGGCACCCAAGACGGCCCCAGGAGCGGCCCAAGACGGCCCAAGACAGCCCAAGAGGCGCCGAGGCGGGCCTCAGACGGCCCCAAGACGGCCCAAGAGGCACCCAAGACGGCCCGAGAGGGCCCTAAGAGCCCCCCCGGGAGGCCCAAAAGAAGGCCGAAGAGGCTCCGAAACGGCCCCCACGAAGCCTTCAGTGGCTTCAGCATTCCCTCCAGGAGCGGGGGAGCGGACGAGAGGCGACAGGCACGCCGCGCTTGCCCCGAGACCCCTCGCCACGTCGAGCTGATGTCGTGGACGGAGTCCACAGATCTGCCCTAGTCAGCTACAACGCTGGGATCAGCGCGTGCGAGAAGGGCGAGCAGTGGCAGCCAGCGCTGGCGCTGCTGAGCGAGATGTGGGAGATGAAATTGGAGCCCGACGTCATCTGTACTACAATTCCGGGCGAAGCGCGCGCGAGAAGTACAAGCAGTGGCAGCGCCCCGGGCCGCCCAGAGAGCTCGCGGGCCGCCCGGAGAGCCTCCGGGCCGCTGCCCGACGGGCCTGGGAGGCCCCCGGACCGCTCGCGGACTGATCCAGGAGTCCCAGATCGCCCCAAGACGGCCTCAGGAGGTCCCGAAGACGGCCCAAGATGGTCTAAGAGTGTATCCGAAACGCTTACGACGGCTTCAAGACGCCTTCAAGACGGCCCGAGACGCCTCCACGAGGCCCCCAGAGCGCTCGAAGTGCACCTCCAAGAGGGGCCGCAGAAGCCAAAATCGTTGATTTTCTGTGTTTTTTCCACTGTTCCTGGCCTTCTCGCTTTTTCGGCTGTCCGACGCTCCACGGCCGCTCAAGAGGCCCCCAAGACCGTTCCAAGACGGCCCAAGAGGCCTTCAAGACGGCCCCAAGACGGCCCAAGAGGGCCCCAAGACGGCCCAAGAGTCGCCCAAGACGGCCCAAGAGGGCCCCAAGAAGGCCCCAAGAGGCCCCCAGGAAGCCCCAAGACGCCCTAAAGAAACGCCGCGACGCTCCCAAGACTTCTCCAGGAGGCCCCCGGACGCTCCAAAGAGGCCCCCAGAGGCCCCAAAAGAGGACCCAAGAGGCCACAAGACGCCCCCAAACTGCTACCAAGAAGCCCACAAACTGTCTCCCAGAGGCTCCTGAGAGGCCAACCGCGAGATCCCAACCAACATCCAAGAGATCTCTTGCCCATTACCCAGGCCCGCGGCGAGATTGCCCGCAGGCCACTACAGCCGGTTCGGAGGCCCTACATATCCCAGCACCCGCACCCTTGGCTGTATCGATGCAGGGCCTTGAGGGGCCGAAACCTCGGGAAACTCAGATCGTCTTGGGCGGTGTCCAAGGCCTTGGGGTACGTGTGGGGGCCAATCGTGGCGCAGTGGAATGGCCAGAACCTTCGGATTTTCGCTAATCGCGGAGAGGCCGGGCGCGATTAGCAAAAACCCGATGCTTTTTGAGACTTCCACGCCTAGCCTTAATCGGTTACGATAGCCCTCTTGGGTCGGGCGCCTCGTGGGGCGGCTTGGGGCAGTCTTGGGGGTGTGAGGCCGTCTCGGACCTCGCGTTGGGCTCCCGTGGGCGGCATCTGCGGCTGTGCTGGGCCCTGCTGGGGGTCACTTGAGGCTTCGGCGACACGTGCGAGTTCGGGACCAACACCTGGACCTGCGGGCCGTGGATTTTCCACGGGTTCACACTAGTCAGCTACAATGCCGGGATCAGCGCGTGCCAGAAGGGCGAGCAGTGGCAGTTTGCGCTGGACCTGCTGGGCGAGATGCGGGAGGCGAAGCTGGAGCCCGACGTCATCAGCTACAATGCTGGGATCAGCGCATGTAAGAAGGGCGAGCAGTGGCAGCCTGCGCTGGCGCTGCTGAGCGAGATGTGGGAAGTAAAGCTAGAACAAAACGTCATCAGCTACAGCGCTGGGATCAGCGCGTCCGAGAAGGGAGGGCAGTGGCAGCGGGCGCTGGCGCTGTTGGGCGAGATGTGGGAGGCGAAGCTGGAGCCCAACGTCATTAGCTACAGCGGTGGGATCAGCGCGTGCGAAAAGGGCGGACAGTGGCAGCCTGCGCTGGCGCTGCTGAGCGAGATATGGGAGATCAAGTTGGAGCCCGACGTCATCAGTTTCAATGCTGGGATCAGCGCGTGCGAGAAGGGCGGGGAGTGGCAGCAGGGGCTGGCGCTGCTGAGCGAGATGTGGGAAGTAAAGCTGGAGCCCAACGTCATCAGCTACAGCGCTGGGATCAGTGCGTGCGATAAGGGCGAGCAGTGGCAGCGGGCGCTGGCGCTGTTGGGCGAGATGTGGGAGGCGAAGCTGGAGCCCAACCTCATCAGCTACAACGCTGGGATCAGCGCGTGCGAAAAGGGCGGGGAGTGGCAGCCTGCGCTGGCGCTGCTGAGCGAGATGCGAGAGGCGAAGCTGGAGCCCGACGTCATCAGCTACAACGCTGGGATCAGCGCGTGCGAGAAGGGCGGGGAGTGGCAGCCAGCGCTGGCACTGCTGAGCGAGATGTGGGAGGCGAAGTTGGTGCACGACGTCATCAGGGCGAGCAGTGGCAGCGGGCGCTTGCGCTGCTGAGCGAGATGTCGGAGGCGAAGCTGGAGCCCGACGTCATCAGCCAATTTCAGTGCTGGGATCATTGCGTGCAGGAAGGGCGAGCAGTGGCAGTGGGCGCTTGCGCTGCTGAGCGAGGTGTTGGAGGCGAAGCTGGAGCCCAACGCAGCAGCTAATTACAGCCCTGCGATTGTCGCTCTACTGCGCAGAAGCGATGCGACTGGCGCATTAGGCAGCTTCAACGCTGGCAGCGGGCTCTGGCGCTGCTCAGCGAGATGTTCAAGCCGAAGTTACAGCGCTGGGTTCAGCGCGTGCGCGATGGACGGGCAGTGGCAGCGGGCCCTTGCGCTGCTGAGCGAGATGTGGGAAGCGAGGCTACAGCCCAACGCAGCCAGCCGCAGCCCTGCAATCGTCGCTCTGCTGCGGAGAGACGGTACGACAGGCTTGTCAGCCACAACGCTGAGGACCAGCGCGTGAGTGAAAGGTGGTCAGAGGCCGCGGGCTTTGGCGCTGTTGAACACGATGTGTGAGGCGATGCTGGGATTCGGACGTTATCATGACTTTAGCGTTGTGTTCACTGGGTGCAAGACAGGACGAGCAGTGGCAGCCGACGCAGGCGCTGCTCACCGAAGTGTGGAAGTGCTGGACTCCAATGCCATCAACAATTGCAGCGCTGGGATCATCGCGTGCTGGAAGGGCAATCAATTGCAGCAGGCTCCGTTGCTGTTCAGCGAGGCGTGGTAGGCGAAGCCGGAGCCCGACATCATCAGTTACAGCGCTGGGATGAGTGCGTACGACAAGGGCGAGCCGTAGCAGCGTAGTTCGGCGCTGCTCAGCCAGATGCGCGAACGTTGGAGCCCAGCGCCATCTTGATCACCTCGACGGGATCAGAAGTTGTGAGAAGGGCAAGCAGTCGTAGCAGGCCTTGTCGCTGATCTGCGCGACGTGGGAGGCAAAACTGTAGCCCGATGTCATCAGCTACAGCGCTGGGATCAGCGCGGGCTGGATCTGCGACCAGCGGCAGCGCTCAGGGAGACGTGGAAGGCGGCATTTGAGCCCGCCGTTGTCATTGGCAACGCTGGGATTAGGGCTCGGACGTTTCCTGGGGAGATGTGGGAGGCGACGTTGAAGCTGAGCGTCCTCGGCTACAGCGCTGGCATTAGCGCGTGCGGAAGAGGCTGATAGGGGCTGCGGGCTCAGACGCTGCTCAGCGAGATGCAGGAGGCAAAGCTGGGGCCCAACATCAGCAGCTACAAAGCTAGAGTTAGCTTGAGCGAACAATGCAAGTGGCGATGGGAGGTGGCGCTGCTTTGAGCCCAGCGTCACCAATTACATCGCTGGGACCGGCGAATGCGAGAAGGGCGGGAAGTGGCAGCGGGGTTTGGTGCTGCTCAGCGAGACGTGAGAGGCGAGGCTGGAGGCCAGTGTCATCAGTTACGACGCAGGGGCCAGCCCGTCCGCGAAGGGCGCACACTGGCCGCTGGTCGTTGTGGCGCTGCAGAGCGAGATGTGGGAGGCGAAGTTGGAGCCCGACGTCATCTCTCCGGCGTTATCTCCTTGGACGCCGAGCAGCCACAGCGGGCTCTGGAGATGCTCGGCCGCGGAGGCGAAGACGGAGCAGCTGAAGAAGCGTGCGTCCGAGCTTGTGGCCAAGCTCTCCGAGGATCCGAAGTTGCGGGAGACGACAGGAAGCGACGCATTTGCTGCGCAAGTCTGGCTGGTCGTGACACCCACGCCCACGTGGCACGTGGCAGGGCGAGCCGACGCGTCCCAGCGGCCCTGGAGTCCCGTGCCCGGAAGGCATGCGGCGGGGCGCGCCAGGTTTCCCCGCCTCCCATGTTCTCCTTCCCGTGTCTCCCCCCCCGCCCCTCCTGCCCTCCCTCGCCTGCCCCCGCTCGCCAGCCCCTCCTGCCCGGGGACAGCTTCGACGACGGTCTCTTTTCCGGCTTCGGTCTCTCACCGTGCATTGTGCCGGCTTTTTGCCGAGATCCTTCGATTCTTGGCGTGGTCGTTTTCTTCCTGCGCGCCTGGGTCACATCATCACCTGCATCCGTGAACCTCCCTCCCCCTCGCCTGCCCCCCTACTCTTCCCTCCCTCGGGAGCAGATACGGCAGAAACAGGAAGTGATGAGGGACGGGGATGGTGCCTGGTCTTCCAGCGGCCTCCGACGCCGAGCTGGAAAACGACCGAATCGCCCAGGCCGTCCTCCCCGTCCTGGAAACGACCGAATCGCCCTGGCACGTGTACACGTACGCAAGATGTCGCGAAATAATAAGAGTACCAAGCCCAAGAGTTGCCTACCTCTGGGTCGCTGTTGTCCCAATAACCCCCGCTGGTTGGACCATCGTTAGAGACTGAACTGCTGCTAGTCTCCGTTCTCCCCCCTTCTTTCTACTTCTCCTCCTCCTCCGCCTCATCATCATCATCCTCATCCCCATCCTCCTCCTCCTCCTCCTCCTCCTCCTCCTCCTCCTCCTCCTCCTCCTCCTCCTCCTCCTCTCCCTCCTGCAGTGGAGGTCCCTGGAGGTCTCCTGCCGAGGCCGCCTGCCCTGCCTGCCCTGCCTGCCCTGCCCTGCCCGCCCGACTGCCCCGAAACAGCCCGGCGCGGCTGTTTTGGGTGGTGCGGGGCCCCTCGCGCCGAGGCCGCCCTCCTTGCATGCCCTGCCAGCCCGACTGTCCCGAAACAGCCCGGCTCCGTTGTTTGGGGTGGTGGGGGGTTGGGGGGATGGGCCGGGGCTCTCGAGCCGAGGCCGCCTGCCTTGCCTGCCTTGCCCGCCCGACTGCCCCGAAACAGCCCTGCGCGGTTGTTTGGGGTGGTGGGCGGCTGGGGGTATGGGCCCGGGATCATCGCCCCCGATGCCGCCCCTCTCCTGCCCCTGCCCCCCTTGCTGCCCCCCCGCGCTTTCTCCTCCTCCCTCCTCCTCCTCCTCGCCTCCCTTCGTCCCTGTCGTCCTTGCCCGCCTCGGAGCGCGCCGTGCGCCGGACCCCAGCCTGGCAGAGGGGCCGCGCCTGGCAGGTTGCCTTAAGCCCGTGCGGGCGATGATAAAGTAATCACCCCCCCCCTTCACCCCTCCTCCTACTCCTCCTCCTCCTCCTCCTCCTCTTCACCCCTCCTATTTTTATCCCCGTCCAACAGGATTTGATTGTGGAGGGGGGCGCGGAGGCCGAACTTTCTAATCCACGGGGAAAGTTGCGAATCGAAGCTGCTATCATCTCATGTTGACGAGCAAGAGCATCAAAAACGCTGACAATGGCCATGGTGGTCTCACCACACCAGCTTCTCTTCCTTCTCTTTCTCCTCCTTCCGGACCCCCCCCAGGGGCCGATCATTTTTATCCCTTGTTTTTGTTGATCCCCCGCGGGGTCCCACCATGGACCCCCTACATGCGAGGTTGAAAACGATCACGCATAATCTGTTTTACAAACAAAACACATGAGGCCCCGAATCCAACACAACATTGAAAATCGATCCTTGGGCCATCCTCTTCTCTCTTCCGTCTCCCACCATTTTTGTTCCTGTCTTCCTGCTCGTGCTCCTACAAGTACTATTACAATCAACCCGCGTGGTAAGGATGAGCAATCTTGTTATACACTTGCATTCTTGCCACTTTGGCCCATCTCTGGGCCTTGCAAGGACCTTGCATCTTTGCCGCGCATCCTTACTACACGGGTCGCCTTGTGCCGTGCGCCTGCTGGCAAGTAGCCACGAGCCTCGAGATCTCTCGAGTCAGCCTTGTGTCGTGCGCCTGGTTAGTCACGAGCCTCGAGATCTCTCGAGTCAGCCTTGTGTCGAGCGCCAAGGATCACCACCATTCATCATCATCATCATCAGCAGCAGCATCAGAATCATCATCATCAGCATCATCATCATCATCAGCATCAGCATCATCATCGTCGCCACCGTCATCATCATCATCATCATCATCATCATCATCATCATCATCACCATCATCATCATCATCATCATCATCATAACTTACCTTCCCCTGGCAAATATTTTAGTATCCCCGCCAGAACCCCGAACTTTATTATCCCCGGGGGATTATTATCGCCCGCACAGGGGTACCGCTGATGGGCGATGCGCCTTTCCTGGTGCCCCTCACCCCTATGCTTCCCCTCCCCCCCCCCCCGCGGGCCGCGCTGTATCCCGCGGGTTGCCAGCGGGCTCCTCCGCAGGCCGAGCCCGCCTGGCCCGCCCGACCGCTCTGGTGGCCTGTCCCGCCTTTTGGCAGGCCGCTCGTGGGTGGGGGGGGGCTGCGGAGCTTGCCCAGTGCCAGGGCAGGGCCCCGCGGAGAACGCAGGCCGCCGCGCTTGCCCGGCCTGCACGGCGCGGGCCAGGGAGGGGCGGCCAGGGGCCAGGCGGCACGGGCGAGCGTGCCGGCGTCCCCCATCGGGGCGCTGGCCCGCCGACCTCGACTGCGTTGGCCCTTGGGCCCCTCGGGATGGTGGCGCTCGCGGTGGCGCGGTCTCGGCCCCGAGGGGTCCTTCACCACTTGAGCAGTCCAATGAGCAGTCCCTCCTCCTACTCCTCCGTCTCCTCCGTCTCCTCTTTCTCCTCCTCCTCCTCCTCCTTCTCCACCACCTCCTCTTCCTCCTCCTCCTCCTCCTCCTCCTCCTCCTCCTCCTCCTCCTCTCCGGGAAACATACGGCTCGAGTAAGCCAGAGCTCGGATCAGCCGTTTTTTTTTGACGAGCGCGTTATTGATTTTGACGGCCCCGTTTTCGTGGGATGTCTGCAGCGGGATTTCAGATTGGATCTCGTCGCTTCTATGATGGCCCCCGTCAGGCCGACCCGAGTCCCCCGTACCCATGTCTTACGTCTCCCCGATCCTCCTCCTCCTCCTCCTCCTCCTCTTCCTCCTGCTCCGCTTCCTCCTGCTCCTTTTCATCCTCGTCCTCTCCTCCTCCTCCTCCTCCTCCTCGAGTCAGCCACCGCATGAGGTCACCGCTTGCGTCCTAGCCTGAGACCAGGCTAGGAAAAGGTCCAGGTGGATCCCCGTCCTCCGTCTCCTCCTCCTGCTCCTCCGTCTCCTCCTCCTCCTCCTCCTGTTCCTCCTCCCCATCCTCATCCTCATCCTCTTCGTCATTATCATCCTCATCTTCATCCCCCTCTTCCTCCTTTTCCTCGTCCTTCTCCTCCTCCTGCTCCTCCGTCTCCTCCTCCTCCCTTCTCCCTCCTCCTGATCCTCCTCCTCATCCTCTTCCTCCTTCTCCCCCTCCTCCTCCTCCTCTCCTCCTCCTCCTCCTCCTTCCAGTCATTATCTCCCTCTTCCCTCCACCTCCCCCTCCTCCTGCCTCCTCCCTCCTACATCCTCCTCCTCCGCTCCTCCTCCTACCCCTCCTCCTCCCATCCTCCTCCTCCTACCTCCTCCTCCTCCTCCCCTCCTCCTCCTCCATCTTCATCACATCATCATCATCATCCATCATCCATCCCACTCCTCCTCCTTTCCTCCTCCTCCTCCTCCTCCCGCCTCCCTCTCCTTCTTCGTCCTCCTCCTCCTCCTCCTCCTCCCTCCTTCCTTCTTTCTCTCCGTCCTCCTCCTCCTATCCTCCTCCTCCTCCTCCTCCCTCCACCTTCTTCTCCTCTTTTCCTCCTCCTCCTCCTTCTCCTCTCCTCCTCCTTCTCCTTCCTCCTCCTTCTCTGTCTGCTCGTTCTCCTGCTCCTCGTCCTCCGTTTCCTTCTTCTCCTCCTCCTCCTCCTGTTCCTCCTCCTCATCCTCCTCCTCCATCTCCTCCTGTTTCTCCTCCTCCTCATCCTTCTCCTAGTCTTCCTCCTTCTCCTCCTCTTCCTCCTCTTCTTCCTCCTCCCCCTCCTCCGCCTCCCCTCCTCCTCTTTCCTCCCTCTCCTCCTCCTACTCCTCCTGCTCCCCCTCCTCCTCCTCCTCTTCCTTCTCACCTCTCCTCCTCCTCCTTGCCTCCTCGTTCTCCTCCTCTCCTCTCCTCTCCTCCTCTCCTCCTCCTCCTCCTCCTCCACCTTCTTCCTCCTCGTGTTCCTCCCCTCTCCTCCTCCTTCTCTAGTCTGCTCGTTCGTTTGCCTTTCCGTCTTCTCCTTCGCTCCTCCTCCTGTTCCTCCCCTCATTCGCTCCTCTCCATCTCCTCCCGTTTCTTCCGCTCCTCTCATCCTCCTCCTCCTCCTCGCTTCCTCCTCCTCTCTCTCCTCTTCTTCCTCCTCCTCCTCCTCCTCCTCCTCCTCGTCCTCTTCCGCATTAGTTTCCTCCTTTTCCCTCTTATCATGGTGTTTCCTCATGAGTTATCTTCCTCCTCATCATCCTCCTTTCTCTCGTCCTTCCCGCATCCCCCGACTTCCCCTCGTCCTCCTCCTCCTCCTCCTCTTCCTCCTCTTTTTCCTCCTCCCCTTGACGATACTGTGGGCCGACCTAGGAGGACTCGCAAGCGGTCCAAGAAGTTCGGGATTCGGATGCAGAGCCTTAACAAGCAAGCTGGGAAGGTGCGGGCTATTGGAAAATCATTGGGGATGTACTCTAAGCGGATATTTGTTTCAGGATCTCTCCCTTGCGTAGAATCGGTTCTTGCGTGCATGGCATTTCTGATACGGAATTGCTTCAGATCCGTCAGTCTGCTGGCAAGGTCCTTCGCCCGCAGGCTGCTGAACGGTCACTTACCACTCTCATGATTCTAGAGGACGACCCGTCCTGGAGATGTGCGATCGCCCCGATCCTGAGGTTTTCGAAGGAGGTCTGGGCGGCACATACCCACTCATATCCATACTCGTTCACTCTCCAGGATTTGAGGGCTGCTTGGGAAGTTGGGTACAGGGATGCTGATGTCACGGAGTGAAAAAAAGGTTTGTGGGCTTATGGGGGCCTTGAAGTTACCCCTCCAGAGGTTATCTTGGGGCATGAATGGGTTTACGGTATTGGTGAATGATTTTGGGGAAGAAATCGCCTTGACCTATGTGGCTCCAGCGTTGCTTAAGGAGTTGCCCTTCAGTGCGTGCCTTAGAGCCCTGGAGAGGGAAGCGGCTGTCAAGGCCGGCCTTAGTTGTAGCCGTCTGTGTTTCGATGTCGTGCGAGCGAAGCTCAGATCGAAGCGAT